TTGTTCGTTATTGATTGTTGTTGTTATTAATGGTTTTTATAGTAGTCAGCCAATCATCTAACAAAACCAAGATAGAAACCAACTACCAACTAACTCGTATAATGTTATATTACTTACATGCCAGTCAGGCGAAAACCCTTTTTGATGAGAGAAAAATTAATTAAAATCAATTTGCCATAAAATTAGAACACTACGTCAATATCATCATAGTGACGTAGTTGTATTTCTCGTAGATCGTAGAATATATACTCAGCTAACACAACATCTATCTAACATATGTTGCGTTTGTAAGAAAGCAAAAAAGGTAATCAATTTTGTTTTATGGCAGCAATTCAGCGCGACTCTTCCTCTTCTTTTACAGTCACCATCTATTTCAATTAAGAAATTTTATTACTGCTGACAGTAGTTGTCAAACGCTATTTCTCCTATACATTTGCGAGGATGAAAATACGTAATAAGAAGAAATTACATTGAAAACTTTTTAGGGCCAAGTACATAAGATACACTTTCTTAAAATAGAGCAAGTGTTTGCAGCTTCAAGTCTACAATGCCATATAAGAATGACGAGAGAATAAGTAAATATTCTAAGAAGAAGTGTTGTCTACAGTTTCGAATAAAAATATTTACAATTTTCCGGTTATGGTAAACACTATGACTGGAGGGGTACATATATATGTATATATATATACATATTTTCGATAGCTTGCCTTTTTCGTTCTTTCTAGATATATTTTATTTTACTTTCTAGTTATAATCCGTCGTCGTATTTCCATGGTTGAAGTAATTCATTCACTTCTTCATTTCATGCAAAGAAGAAGAAGAAGAAATTTCTTTTTTGCAATTTGTTTTCGCCTTTTTGACCACTCCGGTATGGTTTTGCTTGCAGTTCCAAGAAAATTCAGCGGAACTGGTTCATTTCTGCATGGTATAGTTAATGCAATGTTTTAGATAGAATTCCTTAATTTATTGCAATATATTCTATTGCTCGGTATGGCTTATTTTTGCTGTATGATATTTTCCTTATTTAGACGAAAAGAAAAACACTGACTCTTATATCTTTATGACGTAGTAATGTCCCGCGTACACGAAGTGATAGCTCAGATGTTCTCATTTGTTTTGATATTCTTCTGAGACTATGTCAGGGTCAGTGTAAACGGCCTCTCGTACCATTTTGGTCCAATTTTGAAAGATTATTTGGTTTGCCAATAACGATAAAAGGTCACGTTGATAAACTCATTAAAACGCAAAGTATATAGTGTTGTGTAAACTTAGTAAACTTTGACGGGTTGAGATGTTCAAAAAAAAAAAAAAACAACAACAACAACGACAACAACGAAAAGCCACTGCAAAGCTATTATTTCATAGCATACCTAAAAGCATCCCTACATCCGTGTAGTAAACCTAAAAAAAAGTGTTGCACTTTATGCCCCTTTCAGTCCAATTATAAAACGGAAAAACTGATAATGGCACCGAATTTTTGAATAAAAAATTCGATGACTTCTTAAAGGAACCACGGCAATTATCTATACTTTACACACTGCAGCAAAATGGTGTCGCGGATCAGATTAATTGAACGTCTGTCTAAAGGGCTGTGTTGAAGCTGGCACTGATTATTCACTTTGGACAGAAACGAAATCGTACTTCAATTAACAAGAGCTTGTCTCTCAGTCTGTAAGTCCCTTAAGGGTCATAAAAATTGATATATACGTATATATGGCTGTAGTTTGACGTGAGTCCACGTGAGTCGTCTGAAACTCACCTCACGATGCCTGTTGACATTCGGGGTAGTCGTACGTAATCGACGCCCTCTGTAGAATTAGGCAATCCCTATAGACTAGTGGCCTCACCTACCGCTGCAGTGTATGGCCAATAAACCCATAAGAAACGACATACTTATGTTAAGTTTGAGTTCACAGATAAATTTTCAAGCACTTGATATTGTGATGTGCATATAAATGCCACTCAAAATCTCAAAAGTCGAAATTCGGAAAGAATCTTTAGACAACGATAACGTTAAAATTTTACAAAATGTCGACCTAAAGATCCTAAAACCTTTCAAGTTTCGATAGGGAAATGATACTTAGTTATGACTTTTGTTTATGTTTTTTATTGCCCACTACAGGCGACACTGCTATTAAAGTCTTCAAAATTTCAAATCACCGATCTTAGGCCTAGAGTATAGACCGGCAATCTATCGGCGTTTGACCTGTAGAATCATAATCATCTCCTTATCCCCTAAAACTAGAAAATCCGAAAATACCTGCCACTTAAATAAAATCAATTTGACTTACGAAAGGCATAGCGAAGCTTTATCAATTCGAAGCGAAAGGAAAGAAATATTTTATGCCTTTTTCCTATACAAAAAAAAGGAGGTCATTTCAGAAAAATTCTTCCTTCTACACCTGACCCATACGACCTTAGGCTATTTTGCAAAAATTTTCCATTTTTTAATTTAGCTCAAAGGCTAACTTAACGAAATATCTTAATTAGGTTGTAGGCTTTTTCTCAGCAACATTGACTGTAACATGTGTGTAACTATGTTTACAAAACAAGATTTTCTCGCAAACACAAAAAAAAAAAAAAGAGGAAAATTGACAGGATTTATCAACGCAGCCAATAAAAAGAAAACGTAAAATTTTCTGACATCAAACGTTAACTAACATATGTTATGTTGCAATTATGTGTAGGTGTTACTTTAATATCGTAGCCATAAACTCAGACCTAACCGATTCTGACATTTTATATCCATAAATATATATATATATATATATATATATATATATATTGCGAACTTATAAGATTTTTCCCCTTTGATAAGCTAATACATCAATCAGTTTGTGTGGTTTATGTTACGATCATTTTGACAATAAATTCCAAGCGCGCACGCTGAATGATTGATGCCTTTAAGTATTCATTTCAATCTCCTACAATTACTGTTTCGCTGCAGCTGCTGCTGCTGCTGCTGCTGCTGCTGAAGCTGGCAATGTTGTGACCGTGACTTTTGTTGTTTGATTGTGGCATTTTTGAAAAGATCTCTCTCGTGATAGCAATGTCGTGTATAATAATACTTATATATATATATATATATGTATATATAAATATGCGTTTTTTTTTTTCCTCATTTATATTTTACAGGTTACTGTTGTTAAAACTTTGGATTACGAGAAAATTCAACGATATTATCTGACAATTGTCGCATCGGTAAGTCAAAACATACATCAAACAAAAAATGCTCGAACACGTACGCGTAAAAATCTAAACGTAAACATACAAAACTGAACATCAAATCTTTCCCGTTACGGTTGTAATTCTAGGGAAAATGTCTTAGTTCGGCGAAGCTACATATGTCCATTTATATATATATATATATATATCCATATGTATATATACACTTGTGTATATATATATATATATATATATGTACATTCATATTCGCATACGCATATCACTCATGCTTAGGGAGCATTTGGTGAGAGATTTATGCTTAGCACAAATACACTTCCTGGATTAATTTGCCATGCAGCAGCCTTAACAGAGTTTAAGTTGATGCCATACAACGTTTCAGTAAAAATTCTGGCTTGACTTGATTTCATTTCTGTTTTTGGCTCACCAACCAACCAAAAAAAAGCAAAGAGAGAAATATAAAAAGAAAACGCATTGAATCGCAGCTTAGGCAACGGTAACAGTTGCAACAAGAACGAAGACGACAATTCCACTTGTAATCACATGCAATGTATGGCAAGAGAAAAAGTAAAACGACACGACAGTCAGCAACGGTGTCTACATATGCTTAAGCGCCTGCTGGCTGTTGTGTGCGGCAAGGTTTCGCTGAATTTTACCAAATTACTAAATATGGCTTGGATTGCGCACACGTTTCTTGGCGTGCGCGTATGTACACACGATCATACGCTTGTATACTCACACAAACATATATATATATATATATATACAACAGGTATATGTATACAAACATATATATGACAAACATATATATATATAATATATATATACATATACATAAACACGTCGAGTCAGAGATCATACGTCTGTATATCAATGTCGAAGGTTTTCTTGCTGCCGAATATTGCAACATTGAAAAACATTCTACGTGTACATGTGTGTGTGTGTGTGTGTGTTTGTGGCAGTGTGTCGGTGTGTGTGCATAAGATCCTCTACAACAAATTTTTGTTGTTACCGTTTGTTGCTGCCGTTAGTGCTTAATATCTATTGTGGTTGTTTTCTTTTCTTTTTTTTTCCTTTTTTTTTCGCTTTTTTTTTTCTTTTCATTTACATTCTTTACCATTATCATTGCTCTTGTAGCTGCTGCTGCATATGTTTGCCTTATTTTATGTTACTCCATTGAAATAGTTTGTTATAGACGCGCGCGCACTCACGTCAAGCGACAAAGTAATAAATTTTATTTTCAAAATATTATTTTCTTTTATAGTTTTCATTCACTTCATTTATATGCAGCAACGCAATGCCGTATATGCATTTATTATAACCACTCCACCAGTCCAATCGAATTTGCACTGCCTTGTCTTAAAGTCTATATGATTCTCTATATAGAGAAGCGATTTAATATGTATATATATATATATATATATATATATATATATAAAGGTAGTCATCTAGGTGCACAGCTGTTTGTATGTACGAACAAATGTACGACAGTTGCATTTTCGATTTATTGCGTTTGCATAAGCAATTCTTGCACACCTTGTATTTCCCTTTTTATGCAAACCATGCACATATTCAACGAGCAAAGTTAAAGTATGAAGCATCGACGAGAACTTTAGAATATTTGATATGTTTGTATGTGCCGTGCTGGTACTAGGATTTTAAATGTATTGAAGCTTTTTTTTTTTCTTTTTTTTTTTTGTTGTTAAATTGTATTGATTATTGATACCCTAATAAATACTAATAGTTACAATAATAATTGTTGAAAGAAAATTTCATATGCTTTTGTCGTTCTATAATTCACCTCGAAGAGGTCAACCTTTATTTTATTACACAGCTGCCAAGCGAATAAATCTGAGCCGCTACTAAAATCTTTCAATTGTGATTTCGTTTCGCCTATGAGTCGATGGTAAGATGGAAAGTGAATGCAATTATGCGATTTTTTTTTTTGTTAAACCCTTAAGTTATTCAAATGACACTATGGTGGGTCCACCATTAAGTACCTTACACAACCTTACAGTTATTCATATAGCGACCTTTTAATAAAAGACTTTTTTTGGAAAGTGATCCGATCCGAACTATTTTCAAAAAAGTTCTTCCTTGGACAGCAAGCAAGTAGCGAATTTCATTGAGGTATCTCAATAGCTGCGGCCTGTGTGTTGAACGTAAACAAACAAGACGGACAGATGGGCAGACAAGCCTAAATTGATTCGAAAAGTGATTCTGAGTCGGTCGGTAAAATAAAACATGAAAATCCTTTGGAATGTTGCACACATCTACACAGGCTTAATATACCCTTGCACCTCAAAACCTCTCTCCCCTGTAAGGTTTAACAAGTTAAAATTTTCGATTTACATTAGCAAAGCAATATTATTTACAATTAAATTTTCGACTTAACCAACTCTGTCAATTATCGGTTAGGTATACGCTGTTTCAATGACTAAAAAAAATTCTCAAAACATCTACGTTACGTAAGCGCAAACAGCATAAGCTGAAGTACTTAAAATCATTGTAAGCTTCTGTAAGGAAGAGATATTTGTTAAGAAAACTTACTTTTATTGTGTTTTTGTTGTTCTGTTTATTGCGTCTATGCATGCATCCGATGCGAAAGCAGTTAAATTCCCTACGGTAAATGTTGTCCAGTTACATATGGTCTCGTTCCCGTCACGCCTACTTTCACATCTCTTTCATAGGATTTGCTGCTACCTTAAAGGGCAGCATCGCCGTAAATTTAAAAAAGAAAACATTTCCTTTGCTTGCTTAAGAGATGCTTTAAGCAAGAAAAAATTATTTCCTTGAAATTTCGTGTTCTACTAATGATAATGAACACCTGCTAGGAAGTTATGGCCTATTGTCTTATTTACTACTTCCAACTTATCTAACATTACTCACAAATATCTTAGGTAAATATTTTTTGGCTGTCATGGGAACTGAACTTGAACGTGGTGTCTGTTCCCCTTACTCTAACATGTCAAGATGTCGATATTAAATTTTCAGAAAAATATTTTTAGGCCCACTGCAGGGGGCGTAGGACTCTAGTAATTTGTTGGAATGTGTGCAACACGCAGAACGACCTGAAATAGTCCCACCTTTTACTATACCGATCGAATTAGAATCTTTATTATTGTGCCCGATTTGTAGATTGCAATTTTTGAAATGTTTTAACGTAGTTTGGACCAAGGACGAACGCTATTAAAATGATTCAAATCGAATCACTTTCTCGACCGCTTCCCATATCACGTCTCATTTTGAAAAGTCAATGGATGTCTAGTTGTAGGGTGTGTGCGTGAGGTATTTAAAGGCGTACCATCGCTCACTACAGTGTTTTTTCTTGTTTCAAAGTAAATAAAAGTTCGCTAAGCAATGATAAGTCGCTTGACATGGAGAGGCAGATAAGGAGTGGAAAAGCTTTATGCAAAGAGTAAATGTGAAATTTTCCAATAAAATTTCCTCAATAGAAAAGCCGCAATGACTTGAAGAAAACTTTAATTATGTTAATAAGATGCCAAACGCGAGGATGTGAATCATTATTTAATCTTCGCAAATGTAGTTCGCTTTCATACACAATTTGATAAAATGGTACGCAATTCAAATGAAATGAGTCAACAAAAGCAAAAGCTTAACTCTTTAGATCAGCAAAAGAGGACGGCGAGGTGAAGCAATTCGAACTAAAACGACTCATGTAATCAATTAAACACTTTAATGGCATTAATGTGTTGAAATATGTATTTTATTTATCTTTTATTAGCTGTTTATTATATGCATTTCAATTTACGCCCAGAGTAAGACATAATTTAAAAGAGATCTTTTTTCTTTTTTTTTTTTTTTTAGTTCGATAATAAATTGAATTAAGTAGAGGAAAAAATATGTATTATTAAATTATTATTTCTCTTACCATTAAAAACAATTAACAAAAATTTTTGTGACTTGAATTTATTAAATATAATCGACTGCATATATGTATATATATATATACATATACATATACATATACATATATACACATACGTACGACGTCGTAAGTTGTATGTTATGTGGGTATGAGTAGCGTATAAAAAATAAGATCATTATCATACAGTATGGCAGTTAAATAGCGGTTAGTTTTCTTATTTACCATTAGAAAGACTTGAAGTATTAACATAGTACGGAGAAAATTACAATAAAAATCAAGCAATAAGTATCCGTATGATCCGGTTTTAATGCAATAACAACATTGAATTGGTAACACTAATCAACAGCTTATAGCGAGCGTTACGAGTAAGACCACAACATTACCAGGTAATATGTTATCGGTGTGTACGACAATAAAAACTTACACAGCTTGAGGCATTACAATATAAGTAAAAAAGAAAAACAAAAACAAAAACGAAAACAAAAATATATAAAAAAAAAAAAAAAAACAAAACAAAACAACACCAGAATATACTTTATAGAACACGTTCGATCTAAATTCTAGACAAATTGATTGCAAAAACTCTATAAAAAGAAACACTTGCGAATAAAAGCAAAACACTTTTTCTATATCTACTAACAACTAACTGCTTGCTTAACTGTTGTTGCTTCGTTAATATATATTGCGTATGAGTGAAGCACATTACCAGTTCTCTCCCTCTACTACTCTAATAATAACAATGGCAAATATAACATACAGCAGCAGGAGCAATAGCAATAGCAGCGACAACAGCAACAACAACAACAACAAAACCAAAAACAATAACAATCAAAACCGATAACAATAACAACATAGACACAAATTCTAAACACTGGTTTTAACCATAATCCATTATAATTAGTAACGATTTTTATAACCAAAAATGCAAAATTTATAGGAGACCGTTACGAATTTTTAATTTTATAATTATGGTCAATTCAAGTTATAAGCGAGACGTGAATTGCTTGTGTGTTTTGGGTGCAATGTGTATGTATTTATATATGCATGTATGCATGTATCTATGTAAGTATGTATGTATATATAATTTTGCACTTCATCCACCATTGAGTGTTAACATTCGTGTTGTATT